TTAGTAAAAGAAGTTCTATATGGCTAAAAAAAAATATATATAATTTTTATTTTACCACTTTTGAGGATACGGTTCTTAAAATTTATAGTAAATTTCTTGTTATATGTTATTACCATTTGGCATTCACATATAACAGTATAAACTATGTAACATCTTTTCTGACCATTAAATTTATGATTTATTTATTTATTTATTTTTTAACGTATTTAAATATAAAGGAAATGGTTCCAATGGTCGTTAGAGTTTCTCATCAATTGAAAGAAAAGATAATAAATCAAATCGGCGATAAAGAAGAAAAAATCACTATTAATCCATTAATATCTAAAACAACTTTGGACATCATAGGTTTAGTTGGTAATAATTAATCCTAATAATATCCTAACAATAGGATGTCTTAATCTTTTTCTAACGTTTTATTTTTGAAATTTATGTATACAAATAGGATTTAATTATGAAATCAATTCACTTAATTCTCGATCAGAATTAGCAAATGCGTATGAAAAAGCAACCAACATTAATACAACAACCTTAGAAAATTTGATAACCTTGTTATCGGGATACTTTCCCTTTGTTAGAAAGATTCCAACTGGTAGTAATGTTCGATTCATGAATGCCGTTAAAACTATAAGAAAAATATCGGAAGAATTGGTTAATGAACGAGAAGATAAGCTTGCAGAAGGTGAACTTAAAGGCAATGATCTGTTAACATTAATAGTAACAATGAATGCGGCTTTACCCAATGATGAAAAAGTGTCAAACGAAGAAATAAAATATCAGGTATTAAATAATTAATGTACATACAATAAAAATAATAATAATTAAAATTTTATTTTCTGATTTCCAGATTATGACATTCCTTGCTGCTGGACATCACACCACAAGTCAATCATTATCATGGACATTATATTTACTCTCCAAACATCCAGAAATCCAAGACCGTCTTCGTGAAGAATTGGTTCAAGCATTTCCTGATCCCAACTTTCAACCCACTTATGATGAAATTGAACACTTGAAATATTTGGATAGTGTTGTTAAAGAAACTTTGAGAATCATTCCACCTGGTATGAATCATTCACATGATCGTTATTATATGCTTTAATTTTTCCTGCTTTTATGAATATTTTATCTAACATTAATTTATGAATTAAAGTGTCTTTACTCTCTCGTTTGACTACTAAGGATGAAGTGGTAAACGGATATTTTATTCCAAAGGTATCTATATTTTTTGCAAGAAGTTTATTTAAAAGTAATTATACTAACATTATTGTAAACAAATTCTGAATTATTAGGGATCTATTTTCGGAGTCTCAGTTCACGCGATTCACCACAAACCCTCAATTTGGGGTGAAGATGTAACCAAATTCAACCCATCTCGATGGCTTGATCCAGAAATAAAATCAAAAGTTACCAATTTTACATACTTACCTTTTAATACGGGCCAGAGAAGTTGTATTGGAATGAAATTAGCTCTTATGGAATTTAAGGTTATTTTGGCTGTTTTAATCAGGAATTTCGTATTTAATAAAGTTGAAGGGAATAATGTTAGGAAAATGTATGGTGCTGTGACAAGACCTGTACCTGATATTGAGTTGTTTGTATCAAAAATAGATGTTTAAGAAAATTTACTAAGGTTTAAAGAATTTCAAACAATTTAAATGTATATTTATTATATTTATCTATATTTCTTTGTTCTTTTGATCTATAGTGTAAGTAAAATTTATTCTACGGTGGATGCAAAATTGTCGCGTCGCACTATATTTTATTTATTTTCACACATATTTGGTATATATATTTTTAATCAATGGCTATCATGAATTTTTACTTTATTCTTTTTACGCGTGTTTGTACTCTTGAAACAAATAAAGCTAGGTTCGTTATTCTTTTTCTCAACTTTAGCATACCATCGTTGATGTTACTGCGTTCGAAAAAAAGTGTAGAAAATGAATACATCTTACTATTTTACCGCAGAGGTTTCTTGTGTTGTAACTAGAGCCTGAATCGGTTATAAATTCAAGAATCGAACTGAATTTTCACTAGTGATCGTACTCGACCAAAAAAACGTTACTCGGTTAACCGGCGAGTAAACCCACGGGTTACTCGGGTAATCAATCGATATACCCAAGTATAAAATCTTACTTGTTATACCCGAGTAAGCTGTCATGTGATTGGTTACAAGAATTATTGTAGCCAATCAAATTTTACATTTGTTCGAGTTTTGTTCGTGTAAAAATTCTGCTCAGCGACATATAACAAGTAATTTTAAGTTATGGCATATAAAAACCTTGTGTTTGATGACACCTATTAGTTACAATTCATTATTTATATCTGATTACCCGGGCATTATTTAGATAAATACACCGATTTTTTTATTATGCGCATTAATATAACAGTGAAGCATTATTATAGTTTTTAAGCACATCCGGGGTATTACCCTCTAATAACAACCCGGGTAGTTATTATTACAGCATTTTAAAGTTTACATTGAAGTTTTTTACAAATTAAAAAAACTATTTTAATTACTAAGAAAAATCTT